AGAAGTCTATGGACGAGTGAGACAGCTCTCAGATTTCATCAAAAATATCTTAAAAATTTTATCGCAAAAATATCATGTGTTTCGAAGATGAACGAAAGTCTTAAGGCATTGGAACAACATGAGGGAGAACAACATTTTTGGGTGAACTAACCCTTTAAAAGCCAACGAAAAGAGATATGGTTTAAGAATCGACGTGATTGTTAAATATCACTATCACTATTAGGCCACAGTTTTCTTTAAGATTTGTCTTTTGTAAAATAAAATAGTTGTCTTTATTTATGTGACGTGACCTGAGCTCATTGTGGTGCCACTATTGGCATAGAAAAGACACACTTCACCTCTAAGACAACAGGAAGTCAACACAAAATCACACACCCATGTTCTGTTTTAGCACGCATGGACCCCTGCTCTTACAACACTTCCTGTTTCATACCCACATCTGTGTCCAGCTTCCTTTCCCAACAATGTACAGAAAATACTTCATGTTCAAGGAATGGAAGCTATCTTTATCCATCTGAGAGATTATTGGTGTTCAGCGTGATTATTTGGACCATTTTAACTGATTTTACACTACAGTAAAAATATATATGTATATATTGCAGAAAAGGTTTGTCCACAATAGTTGTTGTGTCACATTTCACAGACTGAGACCACATCACTCATATGATCATTTTGGTTAATTGTGTTTGTTTGTTGTCGTCGCCAGAATTATGATGATCTAACCAGAACAAACAATGGTTTCCCACAAAAGATTTACAAGAATGTGATCATTAGCTCTTTACCAAAGAAATCCACAGTAAAACAAAGCTGAAATTCGAAATAGGATTTTTTTTTTCAACATTGTATTTACTGATTTTAGAAACATTTACATTAAAACAAGCACAGAAAAAAAAAGTTTAAAAAATAAAAAATAAATAAAAAAATAATAATAAAAACAACAACGACAACATCTATACTATACAAATATCAAGACAATGGTACATAATAACAAAATTTGTTATTCCTGGTTACACCGAAAATAAACTATTTGGTTCAGCTTCCTCTAAAAGTTCTATAAAGGGATTCCATACTTTGAAAAACTTTCCAGATTTTCCTTTAACAATATATGTGAGTTTATCTAAAGCCAAACAACCTGACAATTTATTTATTTTACAAACGGGACAAAATTAGTGAGTCCGTCACCGTGAAATTAAAAATGAAGAACACAATTCGTTCTGTTTGTTTTGAAGGTTTCTTAGATGGCTGATGTCTTGTAAAGAGGACATGAAAGATTGAGGAAATCTGCCCCTTCCTCTTTTGTCATTGTGCAACAGCTCTACCAGATTTCACAACAAGAGATGATTTTGGGGCTGTTTATTTCAATTTTTCAACATTTCTAATGTTGAACGAAGTTATTTAATATTCAAAGAACACAGCTAAAGATAAATAACAAGCATATATGCTTTGGGGAAAGGAAGAATGACAATACTGACACGTCTGAGAGGCCAAAACCTCACTGTTTTACTGGGCCATATGAGTTAGATGCCATTAAGGTATTTTTTTATCCATTTGTAGACACAAATCAAAATGAAAAAAGTGACACCAACAATGCTGTAAAGAAAAAAAAAATACATGGTAACACTTTAGTCCACTTTAGATATTCTACTTACTAGCTGTCATTAGAGTGCTAACACTTTATTTTGATGCTCCCCCAACAGACTATAAGTAACTTGGCAATACAATACTCTAATGAGAGTTAGTTGACATGTAGAATGTCTAAAGTGGACTATCGAAATAAAGTGTAACCAAAAACTTCAGCTACTGCGTCCAATCCCTGGAAGAGATTTGAGAGATGGGCAAAAACACAAGAAAAATACACAGGCGTACATAAATGAAAAAGGAGAAATTGGCAAGCTGTGTTCACAGGCATATTAAATCATGCAGCTAAAGCAACATGCCAGACAGTGACAAAAGAAATCAGTATAAATATGATAACTGCTCTCTAGCAGGCGGGCTGTAAAGAACCACAGGCAATTATCCTCAGCGAGAGCAGGAATACTGGGCGGCCGTCGCTCTGAAGTGAAGGCTTTATGTGCGCCGCTGATAAGCAGAGAATGAGCAGAACTTTAATGCGTTCGGCTTTCTTGTGTTCGCTGTGCACTCGGAGATTGGCAGAAGTCTACACCTCTGAGCTTGATTGCATTGGTTTGACCCAATTGTGTGTTATAATAAGTATTAGATTTAAACTGGACAACAGCCGAATTAGCTCGCCAGCACTGTAGAAATCATATATAAGCCTCTTTCCATATCTCTGTGATCAAATTAAACATATACAGTGACATTACAGTTTATTTGCACAAAATGATTAGATTCCTTCGGACAATTATAAAATGTGTTTAATTGAAAAACCGTAAATTGACATTCCCACAATTCCCTGTGTGACACTTCACATTTTATGTATTTTTGTTGAAATAACTATGGTTCCTCATAGTTTTATAGTTTTTTTTTTCTAATCAGTTATGTACATTAGGGTTAAATGTTACATTTAATGTTGTTAAATTAATGTTTATTGAATTTTTTAAATTTCATTTGTGTTACCATGGTGGTGCTTAATGTTTGTGTGAATGACATTGTGCAGCTTCTTTAATTAAGTATTGCCTTCAAACAACTATTCACTTGTGATGAACTCAGCTGTGATTGCTCATGTAACTCTCATCACTGTTGTGATGATTGATGGTTGTCAGTGTATTACAATGGTCTAAAACAGATATCAATGCATCAATAAGTTGGTAAATCCACATTTTATCAGAAAATAAATTACGGTTTATTACTGTAAATTTTAAGTTAAGTCTGTAAAACCATTAACGTTCCTACCGTATTTTTAACGGTAAAGTTCTGGCAACCACAGCTGCCGTTTTTTTTACCGTAAAATTTACGGTTTATTTTTTACAGTGTACCAGTAACAGAGCGCAGTAGTTAAAGGGGGGGTTGACTGCGATTTCACTTTTTTTTCATTTTAAATAGTGTGTAATGTTGCTGTTGGTGCATGAACAGTATCTGAAAAGTTGCAGCGCTGAAAGTTTTTGTAAGCAGAGATATCGTCTTTTAAAAATCAGGAAGTTATTGCCTACAAAAACGACTGGATTGGGACTACAGCTGGGTTATGGTACGTCACTAACCCACACATTTGCATCAACCCCTCCCTCAGAATATGCAGAAAATGGCATGCGCATATTTCTGAGGCACGTCGACTCGTCGAGTGTGTTGTTCACGCAGCTGTCAGGTCTTCTGTGTTCGAGCTTCCCACAGACGCTGTACTTCCTCAACAATGGATACAATTTATGTTTGATTATGTTCCTGAAAATGACGATCGTAATCTAGCTCTCTGTGCTGCGCATTTACGGAAGACAGCTTCCAGAATCTCCACGAGTTCAAAACCGGATTCAACAACTAAAACATGAAGCAGTTCCGACTTTAAAACCAGAGGCAGCAGTTGTTGGGCCACAACCTGTAAGTAGGCGAAGACTTCATCATTTTGCATAATGTATAATTCCAGACGTAGCCTTGTGTTTTATTTTTTTCAAATGCCAGCGCTGGCTTTATAGCCCATATAGGCTACTAGTTATGCCATTTTGTGTCTACGACAAACGCGTACAAACATTATGGACCTGAATTTTGTATAAGTACCAATGTTGTAAATGTATTTTTCATGTATATACTGTATGTTTTATGACGTTATTTTCGATTTGATCAAGAACGTAAACTAATGCCAACGCTGTTTGTGTTTAACATTAGTTGCCAGTCAGTTGCTATTGTTGCCAGTCAGATGCTATTGTGTAAAACAAACGTGTATAAAGTTAAAAAATGTAGCAAATTATCATTCAGAAACGTTTAGTAAGAGTCGTGTGTGGTGAGGTTCTGTTTGACTCTCTTCATCGCCGCTTTCTCGGTCTGATTCTGCCTCAAACTGATACTGCAGTTCGACACATATTTCAACGCATTCTCATCCTTTAACGTCATATAGAACGCTATATGACAAAACGGCGCTATACTACGCACATGGCACTCGTTATCGTTAATATAACACGCGAACCCAAGACGTTATAAATCCTTTAGCGTTAATATGACACGCACACCCTACCCCACACCTAAACTTAGCCCTCACAGCACGTGTTATATTAACGATAAAGGGTGCCATGTGCGTAGTATAGCGCCGTTTTGTCATATAGCGTTCTATATGACGTTAAAGGATGAGAACGGCCTGCATATTTACATCTGGACCGGAGCTCAGGCACGTTTCACCCGTAAAGGTAATGGGTGTTAACTTTCTGGACAACGTGAGCGACAGTTTAGCCAATCACAACACACCGGCCCAAACTAACCAATCTGAGCCCACTGCCTGTTTCTGAGGGAGTGGTTTCATAGAATCAGGAAGTCATGTTTACTGTGGCGAACAGGACGAGTGAGCCGGACATGTCCGGGGCTCAGCTTTCTCCACAGAACAAGAGCCTGCTAGCTTAGCTTCCAAAAAAAGATGGCTGACACTATGTGTTCATTCTGTGAGTGAGATCGCCCTCTATGGGCGGGTTGAGAACATGCGGGACAGACCCGACTACTGAGTGTAGTCTTTAGCCTTTGGACAAAACATCCTCCATCCTATTTTTTTCCAAACAAAAAATATAAAAATCGCTCATCTCAGGGGGATATGAGGGAGGAAAGCACCGTAATTTGAAAATACTACAGGTTTTCTACTAATACAAAGCTTAATGCTAAATCCTTTTGTTGTCCCATATCATGCGTGCCATCATTTTATGGTTTTGTTTCAAGTTGAAAGGGGGGAAAATTGTGTGCTTTTGACTTCTGAGTCCATGATTAATGCAGTTTTTCTACATAATGAATTGTACTAAATTGACTTCAATGGTTAAAGTTTCCACATAATTAGGAGTATAAAGCAGGAGCAGAAAGGGACACGTGTGTGGGGTTTCACAAGAGCCCGACACTTCCTCTTCGGTTTGCTTTTGTGGTTCAGGATGGAAAGAAGGTTATGACAGCGGTGACTCTTTACTCAGAGCACAGGAGTCTTTCTCAGAAGCTGGATAGGCTCATTTCAAAACCTCTTTGTTATATTATTATTGTTTTTTTTTACAGTGAACATCGCGCAGTAACTTCACCGGAGTTTAAATGTGACCTTCACCACATACAGATGCTTTTAAACTATGTAAAGTATGTATTGCATTTATGTTTATATTACTCTCTTAATTAGAATAACCGGTAATGCTTTAGCGAATAATAAGTCATTTATGAACGTTATACAATGCTCAAGTACATTTAAATAAGAATACATAAAAAAAGTACATTTTCATCTATAATTCTTTATTAGTGCATCATATTATTATGTTATCGTTATAGGCTATTTTAAGATTTATTTTGTTTTTGAAAGCAAATGATTTTATGTATTTATCATTTTCTCTCATTTATCTTTTGTATCCCTTTCCCCCTTTTTCTTTCTTTTTTAACGTTTTCTATGTTGTCTGTTTGAAACTGAAGGTTTTCACGTTTTCTTTCAGACATCATAAATATGGCATCAGTCTGGTTTGTGCTTGTGCTGGGGATATATTTTAATGCCTGGATAAAAGGTGAATCGACATTTTTTTTACCCATTACATTTAGATTACGAGAATATTATGTTATTTTTCTATCTCTTTAAACCTTTTTAATGTATTTAAAATGTTTTGTCCATTAAACAGGAAAAAAAACTTTTCATCATATCCTTATAAAATTGGGCAACACTTTTACAATAAGGCTTTATTGGTTAACATTAGTTAAGAACATTTCTTAACATGAACTAACAATAAAGTTCTACTGCATGTATTAGTTAATGTTAATTTCAACATTTCCTAATACATTAAAATCCAAAGATGTATTCGTTAACATGAACACTGTAAAAATGAATATGCTTTATCCAATCAAAAAAAAATTTGGCAACAGATTACAAGCAATATTATTCATTAAATTTAACAAATTAGAATTGAGTAATGATTAATCAAATTAATTCCTTAAAAGTTAATCATTTAAAATGAGTAAACTTACAACAACCAAAAAAAAACATAAATTGAAGTCACCATTATGGTGATCGGTGTTTGTTTTAAAATGACGGTTTTCTCCTTCAGTGGTTCTGCTTGTTAACATCAGGTGTCTTCAATGTTGGCAATATAAAATATAGAGTTCTTAATTCATCTTTGATGTCTGTCTGTTAGTGAGATATTTTTGCTGATTTTTTTGCTGTAAACTTTACTCATTTTAAATGGTTAACTTTTGAAGAATAATTTGATTAATTATTACTCAATTCTAATTTGTTAAATTTAATCAATAATATTACTTGGAATCTGTTACCACAATTCTATTGATTAGATAAAGCATATTCATTTTTACAGAGTAACATGAACAAACAATGACTTTTTATTAGCTGTATCAAAGGTTAATACAAGCAATATTATTCATTAAATTTAACAAATTAGAATTGAGTAATGATTAATCAAATTAATTCCTTAAAAGTTAATCATTTAAAATGAGTAAACTTACAACAACCAAAAAAAAACATAAATTGAAGTCACCATTATGATGATCGGTGTTTGTTTTAAAATGACGGTTTTCTCCTTCAGTGGTTCTGCTTGTTAACATCAGGTGTCTTCAATGTTGGCAAATATAAAATATAGAGTTCTTAATTCATCTTTGATGTCTGTCTGTTAGTGAGATATTTTTGCTGATTTTTTTGCTGTAAACTTTACTCATTTTAAATGGTTAACTTTTGAAGAATAATTTGATTAATTATTACTCAATTCTAATTTGTTAAATTTAATCAATAATATTACTTGGAATCTGTTACCACAATTCTATTGATTAGATAAAGCATATTCATTTTTACAGAGTAACATGAACAAACAATGACTTTTTATTAGCTGTATCAAAGGTTAATACAAGCAATATTATTCATTAAATTTAACAAATTAGAATTGAGTAATGATTAATCAAATTAATTCCTTAAAAGTTAATCATTTAAAATGAGTAAACTTACAACAACCAAAAAAAAACATAAATTGAAGTCACCATTATGATGATCGGTGTTTGTTTTAAAATGACGGTTTTCTCCTTCAGTGGTTCTGCTTGTTAACATCAGGTGTCTTCAATGTTGGCAATATAAAATATAGAGTTCTTAATTCATCTTTGATGTCTGTCTGTTAGTGAGATATTTTTGCTGATTTTTTTGCTGTAAACTTTACTCATTTTAAATGGTTAACTTTTGAAGAATAATTTGATTAATTATTACTCAATTCTAATTTGTTAAATTTAATCAATAATATTACTTGGAATCTGTTACCACAATTCTATTGATTAGATAAAGCATATTCATTTTTACAGAGTAACATGAACAAACAATGACTTTTATTAGCTGTATCAAAGGTTAATAAATGGTGTAAAAATGTATTACGCAGCAACAACATTGGGTATGCAGTACATTACTTTATTACAATCTCAAATACTGCAATCAAATGCATAATGCAATAATTTGCCATTTGTTTAGACACACCAAGGTAAAGTTTCTCTGATGTCGTGCAACAACCCACACATTTTGAAATGGCTTTGTTGTCGGGAATGTTTCACGCAATGCAAAGTCACAAGACTAGTGAAGTGGATCGGTGTGTTAGTTCATTCATTATTAGAGCCCAACTTCTCTTCCTGAATTCATGGAGTGTCCAAAAGTGATATCAGGAGCGGATTTCTGTTTTTATTGACCCTACAAGTTTGATTAAACCAAAAATATTTTAGATCCAGGGAAGAACCAATCACTAATCTTAGTTAAAGTATTAATCTCACAAAATTATTTGGCAAAAAAAAAAAGACAAACTACAGCAACAGATTATATTTTACAACATATAGAAAAAAACAAAAGCTGATGGGAAAAAGCATACATTCACTACAAAATCATTCAAATTGTGTTGGTTCTCTTTTGTTTTTGCATGTGCAGTTTTATGACAGCCTGGTCAAAAGTGATGTTCTCTCAATTTGCCATGTTTCATTGCGTCATTACAAATCGACGCCAAACACAAATGCCCAATATGCTTACGAAATCATTAACACATTTTTTATAATAGTGGAATAAAGGATAAAGATCATCACGTTTGGCCACTACTGTATGATTTAAAACACTAATATATATTTTCATCTGCAGTGATTCAGGCATCGTGTGCTGGGATACACACTCCAGCCAAAGTGGTGCTCGCTGGCTCACCCGTGTCGGTGTCCTGCTCCATCGAGGACGACTGCTTGCTGACCAAAGGCAAAGACTTTCGTGTGGCGTGGAAGATTAATAATGATTTTGCACCCAGCAATCTCTCTTACCAGGAGAATAACAGGATATATGGCCTACGCATCCCCAGCCTAACACACACAGCAGACATCATTTGTCTCGTGTGTGTTTCGGAAGACAACTGCCAAATAGTCAATGGAGTGAATGTAAAAGTGGATTGTGAGGATCTTTTTTTTATTATAATAGGCCCTTTTCATATTTTCAAGGTTTCTCAGAAGCTGAATTAGTCATTGTTGGTTAAACCTATGCAGTGGTGAAGGGGACAGCAAAAATAATGTTTACATTCCCATTTTCTCTAATAGCAAAAGCAAAACATATATAACAGCATTTCAACAGCTTTCCAAAAAAAAAAGAATATCGAGAAATTCTGTGCATCCAAAATTATACTGTCAGAGTAGGTCCTACAAACTCATCAATGGTGGGGTAAGCGTTGTGACATAAATGATGGAAAATACTAATTATAATATTTGGAAAACTTCACTGGATTTGCGATGTTGATAACTGTGAATATGCATCATCAAAGTCTAAAGGGTCTACGATTAAGTACTATGATGCTAATTATTAATCTGCAATTAATCAGGGTCCATTCCATATCTACACTGTAAAAATGAATATGCTTTATCTAATAAAAAAAATTGTGGCAACAGATTACAAGCAATATTATTAATTAAATTGAACAAATTAGAATTGAGTAATAATTAATCAAATTAATTCCTTAAAAGTTAACCATTTAAAATGAGTAAAACTTACAACAACAACCAAAAAAAACATAAATTGAAGTCACCATTATGGTGATCGGTGTTTGTTTTAAAATGACAGTTTTCCTTCAGTGATTCTGCTTGTTAACGTCAGCTGTCTTCAATGTTGGCAATATAAAATATAGAGTTCTTAATTCATCTTTGACGTCTGTCTGTTTACGGAGGCGTATTGCATTCACTTGAAGAAATTAACTCGTTAATTCAGAAAAACAGAGCAAAAAAAAAAATCCATGAAAAATTAACTCGTTAATTCAGAAAAACAGAGCAAAATATTTTTTTCTCATGAAAAATTAACTCATTAATTCAGAAAAAAAGAGCAAAAACTTTTTTTCTCATAAAAAATTAACTCAAATTAAGTTAGAAAAACACAGCAAATAAAAAAATTCCATGAAAAATGAACTCGTTAATTCAGAAAAACAGTAGATTGTTTTTCTTCAAGTGAATGCAATACGCCTCCGTAGTCTGTTAGTGAGATATTTTTGTTACATTTTTTTGTGTAAACTTTACTCATTTTAAATGGTTAACTTTTAAGGAATAATTTGATTAATTATTACTCAATTGTAATTTGTTAAATTTAATTAATAATATTGCTTGTAATCTGTTGCCACAATTCTATTGATTAGATAAAGCATATTCATTTTTACAGTGCAATCTGGCATGAATGAAAACGAGGCTTTGATGTTGGTTCTGATCGTTCAACCAGCAAAGCTTATCTTATAGAGAAGGTGTTTCCATCCTTCACAGCCTTGTTTCCATTCACACCAAATTAAATATGGTGTCTGTGACGTGTAATGTTTAATGTTAATGTCTGAAATGTAATCATCAAGACTATTTCTCAGTGTCATTCCAGGCCAAAGTTCACCAGACTTACAATCTGCCTTATATCTTTAAAGATCTTCCACCCATTCCTCGAAACCTGAGCTGTGTTTTGAATATAACGCAGTCATCCAAACTCCTGTGTCAATGGGATCCTGGTGAGAAAACAACCAGCCTTCCTACAAACTATACTCTTCATGCATTGAGGTAACTTCTATTGACATTTTCAAAACTGTAGCTTGTTTATGGATCAATCCAATTTGGCATGTCCAATCCACCTAACCAGGGGTGCGTTTCCCGATAGCATCGTCGCAATTTCCATTGAACTCTATTGGTAACGACCATAATTGGCTAACGATGCTTTCGGGAAACGCACCACTGGTTAGGTGGATTGGATATGCCAAATTGGCCATAGGTGTGAATTTGTGTATGTGTGAGTACCAAGCCATAGGTAATGGGTAGAATTAGATTAAGACCTGGCAACCTACCTCGGAAATAACATTGCTAAGAAAAATCATGACAGTCTTCCGCTTCACACACCAGACACGCAAATTCTGCAGTTTCTTGGTCAACAATATTGTTATATTTAAGGACATGGTCCTTAAAATGTCTGTACTGTACTCTAAGTGTAATTTTATTTGGTGGCGGGGGGCGTCTTCTCGGTGGGGGTGGGGTTTTTGTGGGCATTTATCACGCGGGAATTCATTAGGCACGATCCCCGCAGTGCATTATGGGTATTCTCTGGCCGTTGATGGTACATCCGTTTTACTCTTGTTATGCATTAAGGGATTTAATGAGTGCACTTTATAACATCCACTAGGGTTTTGGACACCACTACAAATGGCTGTCCCCTCAAATAGTAAGAGAATAGAACTGGCTGTGTTTCCCAAAAGCATGGTGAGCTAAGTTCATCATAGAGACCATTGGTGGCAATGGTTCTACAATCTTCTTAGGCTTTTGATGCTTTTTGAGAAATGCAGCCCTGATGGATTACGTACAGGAGTTCATTGGCATCAGCCATCTTGCCCAATGTGACAACGTACCACTCAGGGGTTTTGGATCGAATCGGATAATGAGGAGGGCTGAGGAGCCAGTAAAATACACATTTACTATTTCCAATGACTTTTGTAGTTAAATATGATTTGGATATTGTAATTTAGTGAGATTCACACTTATGGTTTAGAGTGAATTCAATTTTATTTATAGTTGTGGTGATAGGTTTTATAAATTGTTCATTTCTACAGGGACAAATCAGAAAAGACTCAACATGAGATCCCGTCTGGACAGCATTTCTTCTTGATTCAGCGGGATTCTTATAGTGAATATTTAGAGTTGGAGGTTTATGTGACAGCAGTGAATGTCCTTGGAAATGTCACGTCTGCTCCTCTGGAACTGATCCCTATGGAGACAGGTAAAACATTTCTCTGTCAAGAATTAAGAATAAATGTGGAATTATGTGTTTATACCAGGATTGTGCTCTTTATTTGTTTCATTTTCATAGTAATTTATTTAATTGCTGAACATATAAATATTAATTGATATATAAGATGTTGAGTAGTCATTTTGAGTAGAAATACAAAGCAGTACTACTTTAAATAGAACAAATTAAAATAAAATGAAATAGTTTTATGCAATTTTATTTTATATGCATTGCTCATAAACAGGCTGTCATATACACAATAAATTGGGTATTTCAGAACAATAGATGATACAAATAAACAGTGGAAAGTTGTATTTAATTTATTTCATTATCCTTATTAAAAATAAATCACAGTGCACCATAGCATACTTTACTTGTACACTCTTATTCAAAATAAAGCAATAAGACAGAAAAAAAATATTGTAAATAGAACATTTTGATTTATGTAATCCTGAAAGTTTTTACAAAGTACATTGTTTTTCAAAATTTTTGTAATCAGTTAATTTAAATGTTGATGTCAATATTTAGTTTTATCAAGTTGACTGACAACAGTATGTTGGACATTGTCCTGATGTGAATAAGAATATTCAGTAATGACAACTCTCGGAATAGTCATGTTATTGAATATGGCAATATTAATGTATTTGGTTTTGGCAGACTAGATCTGCTACACTGCTACTTTTGAGCTAGTTGGACTTGCTACTAACCCCACCCCTAATTCTACCCATCTCCGCCCCCTGATCCCTAACCCCACCCCTAATCCTACCAATCTCCGCCCCCTGATCCCTAACCCCACCCCTAATCCTGCCCATCCCCCCCTGATCCCTAACCCCACCCCTAATCCTACCCATCTCCACCCCTTTGGATCTGGATCCAACTCCGCCCCCTGGATTTTGTGTACTGCAATGAGGTGCTACCGGTTATTTGAGTAATTTTAATAGCACCTGAATCATTTTGGGCAGGAAAATATATCAGATACCAGTAGTGTCTAATGTGAACAGGTGAGACAAAATAACGGATATAGTCAAAGGTCAGATCTGTACATTGAGACTTGCAGTGTAAACAGAAGATATTTACCCAAAATTATGTACCATTGTTTTGTCACAAATCTTTTATGGGACTTATAAAATTAAAACTTCCCTGAATTGAAATTCAGCAATTTTCACATTCTAATTTAACATCTTATTCATTAAAGTAAACGTCAGGTGCGCCAATTCTTAAATTCTGTGCATTTTTTTTTTTTTTTTGCACAATTCTGCTTTGGTTGTATCAGTCAAACTTTACCTTTGAAGTAGACCTTTCATAATTATAAAGGCCATGACATACCGGCAAGTGGTTGTGTTTTGAAGAATATTGGGCCTATGTTAATGTATACATATATGCCATGTATTTATTACAGCTAAGTTCAACGCTCCAGAGATTAAGAGGGTTGAAGCGGATACTCCTGGCTGCTTACAGTACAGCTGGAGTCTTTCACAGTCTTGGGTGGAGTTCACCCTCATTGTAGAGCTGAGACTGACAACATTGAACAACCAGCTTGACAAAGAGTTGGTCAGTGATTGCTTTTCATGACAATATTGCTTGATTTTTTGAAACAGTTTGCAAGTTATCTGTACAGTGTTTTAAATAATCCTTCTATTATAGATTTCCACTTTCAGTAAACGACAAAGAGACAAAGTAAAAAAATGTGGCCTCCTTCATGGGACAAATTACACCAGCACAATGCGAGTGAAGTACCGTCCATCGAGTGAATGGAGTGAATGGAGTAATCCGAAAACAACCAACACACTTATGAGGGGTAACAAGTTATGGCTGAATCCCAATTCTCTGTCTTACCCCTTCGTCTTACCCCTAGCCCTTGTCCCCCGAAAACCAAGTGGTAAGCGCTAGTGCAAACATACCCCTATGAAATGAGACACCACTCGGTTACGTCATCTTACATCGTCCTTAACTGGCGTCTGTGTCACCCGGGGCGACAAGTGTTGGTCACAAACTTCTCGAAACTTTCAAGATGCCGTCAAAATGTCCAGGATTGGGCTTTTGCTTTCTGCCTTCACTATTCATTATGTTTACATGCACAAGGTGTATTTAAATCGGACTGAATTCATTTAAATCGGTGAATCTGAATATATTGTTGATCTAATTTTCCCGTGTTTTCGTCTCAGACGGGATCCGTTTGAAGCTGAATGCATCATCTGAGAAGCTGATCACGTACGTGTCAGTGTCAAATAATGTACACAGAATGAATGGCGACTGTAGAAAGCAAAAGCTGAATCCCGGACATTTTGGGTGATCTTGAAATGTGGGACTGATTGTGCAAATCAGCGATATAAAGTTAGCATAGCCTAGCATAGCCTAGCGTAGCAACGTAGCGATTTTTAAAAACTTTAAAAACGTTTCAATAAACCACAGAGTTGCAAATATATATGTACATAACTGTGTAGAGCACAAAACAAGACGGTCATATTTTTTTTATCAATCATTTAAGTGAAAAAACTTTGTATGCCCGCCATTGTTGCCAGTTGCGCACAATGCGCAGTGCATTTCTTACCCCTTGGTTTCAAGTAAGCTCGCGAAAATTATTGGTCTTAAGGGCTATATACCCCTCTCCCTTACCCCTATCCCTAGATCAAAATGAGAATTGGGATAGCCCCTCACGTGAACGCGCTAAACTAAGGGAAACGGGTAAGTGGAAGGGGTAAGACAGAGAATTGGGATTCAGCCTTAGTCTTCACTACTTTACAATTAAAGGGTGTATTCAGAATTTTACAAATTACTGTACAAATAAGGACAATAATTATAATAACCTAATTGTACTGCATTGTGGAATAATAGTGTCTGGTGATTAGTGTTGACTGCATGATTAGTTCATGTCGCAGTGCATCCTGGGAACCTATGATGATCAAAATGTACTGAGATTATACAAAAACTGTCTGGACAATGTTTCAATCAGTCGAAATAAATAAATAAATAAATAAATAAATAAATCTCTCGACTCCAAACACAACTATGCAATATGCTAACATTTTTTTAATAATATTTGAATAAAGAGTGAAGATGTCAATTTCCCTCAGCCGGGCGTGACATTTGGCCACTATTGTATATTTACTTCTTTGTTGTATGACTTGTCGACACTCAGAACTAGTTGTTGTATTTTCAGCTCCGGCTGGAAGTTTGGACACATGGCTTAAAGTGAATGATCAGGTCGCACAGCTCTACTGGAAGGTGAGAGTCTTTGCCAGGGAACAACATATATGTCCAAAAATGTAGTCCTAAACCTACCCGTACCCCTAAACCCAACCCTACCCGTAAACTTCCCATAAAATCAGAGGGAAAGTATTCTGAATGACACTGATGTAGAAGCACACGACCTTGGTTGAAAGTCTAAAATGTTGCACTTGATGAAATCAGGTTCATCCTCTTGGACAGTCCTGACACAGCTTGGAAAATCTCATTTTATATTATATAGGGTGTATAGTGTGTCTATAACATTGTATCACACACACACAAATGACAAGTCAATAAGTGATTGAAAGATCTCTGATGTTCATTCACATTCGTGAAGGTCTTACTATTGAATGTTCAAAGTTAAACTCTATTGACAGAATCTTCAACATCCTGTGAACATTTTTATATAAACATACATCATACACTAGCAATGTAAGTTATGGGACAAGGCACTGCAACAAGATAAATATTTAGTTATAAATATAAGTTACATCCAGTTTTTCAACATTGCATTGCATGCAATGATCATGCAATGATGGTAAACTCGTAACTTTCACATGCAAGGACTCGAAGAGGGGACATGAAGCAAAACTTTAGCTTGTTTTTACAAATAAAATAAAATAATAATTCTGTGATAACTGACAGCCACAGATGTATTGAACCTGAAACTTCCCATTAACCAATGCCTTGTCTCATTTTAGCCCTCAAAAAATTTCCGTGCCAATGGCTGGGATTTGTCATACACTGTCGAATCAAAGGAGACTAAAACGACTTTGTGTGTAACTAAAGAAAGCCACTGCTCTTTCAATCTCAACAATTGGATCAAAAAGGTCTACCTGAGAGCCACGAATGCAATGGGGAGCTCCAATCATACCCAAGTACCAGTGCATCGTAAGAAAGGTATTCAATTCCCACCGTAGACAATATTTCTGACGGATGTCCTCTCAATGTTTGATGAGTTGTTCTTGTCTGGTTTTAGGGCTGGACTCTGTGTCTAATGGCAATGTGCGTCCCCAGTCGAACACGTCTGTGCTTATCACGTGGGAAAGCCCTGAGTCCTCCGGTGTCACGGGATACACGCTCGAGTGGAGATCTCTGAGTGAGACACCGGCAGAACCCCTGTCCTTCATTCTGATGGACAAAAACAGCTCCAGTACCTTAGTAACAGGTATTTACTATTATTGCATATAATAATATCAACCATATGAGCAAACCGTTCGGTTGTTCCATATGATCTATATTGTCCATATGATCAACTGGTTTAATTACGATTTTTCTTATATTTGAACAAAAAATGTAAAAGTTGTGAAATATTACAATTATAAATTGTTTTCTATGTGATTATTTAGTAAAGTGTCATTTATTCACTGTGATCAAAGCTGAATGTTTAGTCTTCAGGGTAACATGATACTTCAGAAATCACTCTAATATGATGATTTGATCCTCACTTATTACCAGTTGTCATTGGTGCTCAATTACTTATATTTTGAAAACAGTGTTTACTGCTTAATAATTTTGTGGAAGAAATTAGTAGTACGGTATGCGGTAGTACGCGGATGCGCAGTATCAGCTGCTCCTGCTCATCACTTCTCTCAGCAGTGGCACCAACATGTCTCGGTTCAGTGAACTGTTGGAGTTACTGGAGTAAAATATAATTCGGGATATTGGTTTATTTCGATTCGTAGGCGACTGTCAGGCATGTCTGAAACTAAATAACTTTAGTAACGCAAGACGCGAACTGTTTCGAAAGATTCAGTTCGATTTAGTGGTTCGACCGGTTCAAAAGAATGATTCGTTCACGAACCGGCCATGTCTATGATCACTACAGTCTGCAGAGAGATGGAGGCGGCAAGAGTAAAGGTGAAGACTGGGGAGTGGAAGCTCCGCAAATACACAAATAGAAAGAGTAAAAGTGTGGGAGACATTTGCCGAAATAATGAAAGATGATGACCAAAGTGCTGGCTTTGTCTTCTTGCGATGCTGTGTTGTTACACGTCCATGGCCCAATGACGCTACGATGAACCTTTTACTACTTTTTAAAAAATGCGGTCAGGAAACGGGTCGGGAACAATATTTTCGTACTTTTTTGCGGTCCGAGTTGCGGGCGGGTTGTTGAAAACGTCGGTCGGGTGCGGGTTGTTATACATTGACCCGCGCATCACTGGTGTTGACCACTCCCCCTCGGGCGTCAGGAACTATTCCCCGCAGCCTTCTTAGAAATAATGACAGTCCTCAGAACCGTCTTCCCCTTTGAACACTGTGGCTGAGAGCGCCCTCTGTGTCCCCAGCCTTTCTTGTGGGGGAACACGGGAGGAAACTCACTGTTTTTGGGTGGCACATGTGAAAAGTTGGCTTTTGATGTTTGGGGCTGCTCCCGCTCAGCAGCACGGAGACATGAGAGTGACGGGGAATGAGCTTCTGGAAAGCGGCCGTCTGTTTGGCTTTCTCCGGAAACCTCTCAACGACTGAATTTACAGCGTCGCCAAGAGGCCAGAAGGTGACAGGCCGCGTCCATGTGGACGTTCTTGTCCTTTCCTTTATATTACTGAGCCACAGATGCCTCTCAGTGGCCACCTGGGCGGCCATAGAGCGGCCGATGTATTTAGCCGTCTCCTGGATTCAGCCGTCTTCGCAAACTACGTCAAGGCCATTTCCCCACCCTCATCCATGTCTCCTAACACCTCACCTGGGTAGGCTTGCAGCAGGTGTGGAGGTGTGGAGGCATGCTGCAGCCTGACCAGCGGCTGAGTAAGGGCCAATCCCAATTCTACCCCTTACCCCTTCACTTTCCCCTTCCCTCTGTTTTGCGCGTCCACGTGAAGGGGTAGGGCTGTCCCAATTCTCTTTTGGTTGGAGGGGGAGGGCTAGGGTGAAGGGCCAGATAGCCTTCAAACGAAGATTTTTCGGGAGCACACTTCAAACGAAGGGGTATGAGAAGTGTCACTGCTAACCCAGGCTACAGACGCAAAATGACTGCCCAAGCGACAAAGGAGACCCATAAATTTAAGTATTTGTGGCTTTAATAAGTATTGTAACGACAAATAATGATTTGCTTTATGTTACATTCAATATTGTGTTCATATTTACGGTCAGTTTCTTCACAGAAACGTTTGTAAAAAAATCGCTAAAATTACTGTAGTTTGCTAACGATAGTCCCGCAACATATTTTCGTCGTCTCCGTTGTTTCCTGCGAACTTCACAAGATAAATGCAAGAAAATAGCTGTAACCCACGCGACTGAGATAACTGCAGCTGTCGACGGCATCTTGGAAGTTGTGATAAACATCGGCGCATCTCCTGTGACGTAGGCGCTAGCGACGACTTACAATGACGTTTAACGGAGGCGTAGTGATGTCCCATTTCTTAGGGGAATATTTTCACCCCTACGCATTGCCACTCTGTTTCAAGGGTCAAGGGGAAGGCGAAGGGTAGGGCTAGGGGAAAGTGAGGGGTAAGGGGTAGAATTGGGATTGGCCCTAAGCTTTACCCACTAGAGAAAATGTAGTTCTGACTGGCTTAGTGCGTAATGCCCAACCCATCCGATCTCACGGGAATTCGTACGAATTTTTTACGAGGTGGCTAAATTCGTAACAATTCGTACGACCTCACTCGTACGAATTAGTACGATTTTGCTAAATCGTACATATTTTATGAATTAGCCAATTCGTATGAATTCGTACGAATGACCTACCCCTGACCCAGCCCCTAAACATAACCGTCACGTGGGTTTAGACAAATCGTACAAATTCGTATGAGTGAGGTCGTATGAATTAGTACGAATAAGCCACTTTTGAATCACTTCGAAATTA